AACAGTATCTAGATAAAGGTAAGGAAGTTTTCACTGCATTTATGGATTTAGAAAAGGCATATGATAGAGTGGATAGTGAAACAATGTGGCAGATGTTGCAAGTATATGGAATAGGTAGTAAGTTACTAAATCCTGTAAAGAGTTTTTATGGGGATAGTGAGGCTGAGGTTAGGGTGAGGAGGAGAGGGGGAGATTACTTCTGGTAAAAGTAGGTCTTAGAGAGGGATGTGTAATGCCACCATGGTTGTTTAATATATTTATAGATGGAGTTGTAAAAGAAATAAAAACTAGGGTATTGGGGAGAGGAGCGAGATTAAATTATTTCCAATCAAATACAAAATGGGAGTTGACACAGTTACTTTTTGCTGATGATACTGTTATTATGGGAGATTCTAAAGAAAAGTTGCAAAGGTTAGTGGATGAGTTTAGGAGGATGTGTAAAGGTAGAAAGTTGAAAGTGAACATAGATAAGAATAAGGTGATGAGGGTATCAAATGATTTAGATAAAGCAAAACGGTATATCACATTGGAGAGAAGGAGTATGGAAGAAGTTAATGTTTTCAGATATTTGGGAGTTAACGTGTCAGCGGATGGGTTTATGAAAGATGAGGTTAACCATAGAATTGATGAAGGAAAAAAGGAAGAGTGGTGCATTGAGGTATCTGTAGAGACAAAAAAGTCATCCATGGAGGCAAAGAAGGGAATGTACGAAAGTATAGCGGTGCCAACACTTTTATATGGGTGTGAAGCTTGGGTTGCAAATTCTGCAGCGAGGAGGCAGCTGGAGGCAGTGGAGATGTCCTGTCTAAGGTCAATGTGTGGCATAAATATTATGCAGAGAATTCAGTGTGTGTAAATTAGGAGGAGACGTGAAGTTACTAAGAGTATTAGTCTGAGAACTGAAGAGGGGTTGTTGAGGTGGTTTGGTCATTTAGAGAGAATGGATCGAAGTAGAATGACTTGGAGAGCACGTAAATCTGTAGGGGAAGGAAGGCGGGGGTAGGGGTCGTCCTCGAAAACATTGGAGGGAAGGGGTAAAGGTTTTGTGGGCGAGGGGCTTGGATTTCCAGTATGTGAGAGAGTGTTAGATAGGAGTGAATGGAGACAAATGGGGTTTTTGGGACGTGATGAGCTGTTGGAGTGTGAACAGGGTAATATTTAGTGAAGGGATTCAGGGAAACTGATTATTTTTATATAGCAGGACTTGAGTACTGGAAATGGGAAGTACAATGCCTGCACTTGAAAGGAGTGGTTTGGGATATTGGCAGTTTGGAGGGGTATGTTATACAGTGGACCCCCGGATTAAGATTTTATTATTATTATTATCACACTGGCCGATTCCCACCAAGGCAGGGTGGCCCGAAAACGAAAAACTTTCACCATCATTCACTCCATCACTGTCTTGCCAGAAGGGTGCTTTACACTACAGTTTTTAAACTGCAACATTAACATCCCTCATTCAGAGTGCAGGCACTGTACTTCCCATCTCCAGGACTCAAGTCCGGCCTGCCGGTTTCCCTGAACCCCTTCATAAATGTTACTTTGCTCACACTCCAACAGCATGTCAAGTATTAAAAACCATTTGTCTCCATTCACTCCTATCAAACACGCTCATGCATGCCTGCTGGAAGTCCAAGCCCCTCGCACACAAAACCTCCTTTACCCCCTCCCTCCAACCTTTCCTAGGCTGACCCCTACCCCGCCTTCCTTTCACTACAGACTGATACACTCTTGAAGTCACTCTGTTTCGCTCCATTCTCTCTACATGTCCGAACCACCTCAACAACCCTTCCTCAGCCCTCTGGACAACAGTTTTGGTAACCCCGCACCTCCTCCTAATTTCCCAAAATTACGAATTCTCTGCATTATATTCACACCACAAAATTGCCCTCAGACATGACATCTCCACTGCCTCCAGCCTTCTCCTCGCTGCAACATTCATCACCATGCTTCACACCCATATAAGAGCGTTGGTAAAACTATACTCTCATACATTCCCCTCTTTCCCTCCAAGGACAAAGTTCTTTGTCTCCACAGACTCCCAAGTGCACCACTCACCCTTTTCCCCTCATCAATTCTATGATTCACCTCATCTTTCATAGACTCATCCGCTGACACGTCCACTCCCAAATATCTGAATACATTCACCTCCTCCATACTCTCTCCCTCCAATCTGATATCCAATCTTTCATCACCTAATCTTTTTGTTATCCTCATAACCTTACTCTGTCCTGTATTCACTTTTAATTTTCTTCTTTTGCACACTCTACCAAATTCATACCACCAATCTCTGCAACTTCTCTTCAGAATCTCCAAGAGCACAGTGTCACCAGCAAAGAGCAACTGTGACAACTCCCACTTTATGTGTGATTCTTTATCTTTTAACTCCACGCCTCTTGCCAAGACCCTCGCATTTACTTCTCTTACAACCCCATCTATAAATATATTAAACAACCACGGTGACATCACACATCCTTGTCTAAGGCCTACTTTTACTGGGAAATAATTTCCCTCTTTCCTACATACTCTAACTTGAGCCTCACTATCCTCGTAAAAACTCTTCACTGCTTTCAGTAACCTACCTCCTACACCATACACCTGCAACATCTGCTACATTGCCTCCCTATCCACCCCCGTCATACGCCTTTTCCAAATCCATAAATGCCCAAAAAAACCCCTTTAGCCTTATCTAAATACTGTTTACTTATATGTTTCACTGTAAACACCTGGTCCACACACCCCCTACCTTTCCTAAAGCCTCCTTGTTCATCTACTATCCTATTCTCCACCTTACTCTTAATTCTTTCAATAATAACTCTACCATACACTTTACCAGGTATACTTAACAGACTTATCCCCCTATAATTTTTGCACTCTCTTTTGTCCCCTTTGCCTTCATACAAAGGAACTATGCATGCTCTCTGCCAATCCCTAGGTACCTTACCCTCTTCCATACATTTATTAAATAATTGCACCAACCACTCCAAAACTACATCCCCACCTGCTTTTAACATTTCTATCTTTATCCCATCAATCCCGGCTGCCTTACCCCCTTTCATTTTACCTACTGCCTCACAAACTTCCCCCACACTCACAACTGGCTCTTCCTCACTCCTACAAGATGTTATTCCTCCTTGCCCTATACACGAAATCACAGCTTCCCTATCTTCATCAACATTTAACAATTCCTCAAAATATTCCCTCCATCTTCCCAATACCTCTTACTCTCCATTTAATAACTCTCCTCTCCTATTTTTAACTGACAAATCCATTTGTTCTCTAGGCTTCCTTAACTTGTTAATCTCACTCCAAAACTTTTTCTTATTTTCCACAAAATTTGTTGATAACATCTCACCCACTCTCTCATTTGCTCTCTTTTTACATTGTTTCACCGCTCTCTTAACCTCTCTCTTTTTCTCCATATACTCTTCCCTCCTTGCATCACTTCTACTTTGTAAAAACTTCTCATATGCTAAGATTAAGATGTTATCGGATTAAGTAATAATCTGTTTAAGTAACGTTTTTGCGTCAAAATACTGGCTCGGTTAATGACACTGAACTCGGTTAAAGTGATTTGTCCCGAGCACGTCAGCGCGCCGTGAGCTGCCCAGACACTCCATGTACAGCCAGTGTGTCCTTGTTTACCAGCCAGTGAGGACGATTCCATGCGTACATGCGATACATTTTGTATTATTCCATTATTTTTAGTGCTAAATAAGCCACCATGGGCCTAAAAAAAGCTTTTAGTGCCAGCCCTTTGGTAAAGTGGGTGAGAAACACTATAGAATTCAAGAAAAAGTTTGTAGAAAGATACAAAAGTGATGGTGGTACACCAGTCAGGGTACTTCCCCATATACAAGCCAGGGTATTTCTGCACACACCAGCCAGGGTATTTCCCCACACACCAGCCAGGGTATTTCCCTACATACCAGCTAGGGTACTTCCCCATATACCAGCCAGGGTACTTCACACACATGATTTGATTTGAGTGGGACTTGTGCATGAGTGAATAGGATTATCAAAGCTTATTGCTTGGGAAGCATTGAAAATTGGGTTGGGCAAATATGATTCTGTTAGTGGGATGGTTTGTGAAGGACCTGCCTAGTATGGGCCAACAGGCCTGTTGCAGTGTTCCTGTTTTCTTATGTGCAAACATTTATGGATGAACATCACCCTGACACAGCCGTTGCAGGTCGTGTTGACAACATCTACAGTGACAATGCTGTGTCCCATTTTAGGGAAATCTTAAAGAGATGCCAGAAACAGAGCTCTCTGGACAGATATTTAGTGCCACAGGTGTGCAGTGACTCTCAAGCTGGTCCTAGTGGCACTAAAAAACAATGAAGGGAAGTAACCCCGGAAAAGGACTTGGTTCCTGAAGTCTTTATGGAAAGGATTCCACTTCCAAACAATAGTACACCTCCATCCTCTCTCCTCCTCCTGTCTTATCACTTATCAATAAGTCTTCAATAAGGTAAGTGTCATTTTAGTAATGTTTTTCTCTGCATGTCTCATTGTTTTTCTGTGTAGGGAAATGTATATTTCATGTAAAAAAATTATTTTGTTTAATACTTTTGGGTGTCTGGAACGGATTAATTGGATTTCCATTATTTCTTATAGGAAAAATTAATTTGGATTAGGTCAGATTTGATATAAGACACTCTCTGGAATGGATTAATTACATTATCTGGGGGTCCACTGTATATGTTTCTAAACTGTTGTATCAGGGTGCCTCTGCAAAGACAGTGATTATGTGTGAGTGAGATGAAAGTGTTGAATGATAATGAAAGTATTTTCTTTTTGTGGATTTTCTTTCTTTTTGGGTCACCCTGCCTCAGTGGGAGATGGCCGACTTGTTGAAAAAAAAAAAAACTTTTTTTTTCAAAATATTCGGAGCACTTGGCGAGTGAACGTAGATCTATGGTTGGACAGTTTAAGGGTTAAACATGAGTATTAAAATGCATAGCATGCAGTAATCACTGGATCACAAAGTTGCCTACCCTGGAGTTACTACGGCTACGAAACTCTGAATCTGAGTCAGTCAACAAGCTAGTGAACACAATATTAGGAACTGAGACTCCACTTCCTTCTTGTTGATATGTTACTGCAGCACTGTTTGGCTGTGGCCGGGTACCCTATGGAAAGAAAATACTCTTAAAGTAGGCTAAGATATTGAAGGTAAGAAGATATCTAGTATTAAAAAAATACATTTTTTCATGTTTAATGAAAAACTAAAGATTTACCACATCTAATCAGCACTAGTTCAGAAATATAAAAGCCTTAACAGAAAAAGATGTTTTTTTGAATGCATCCAGAAAAACCTGAATGAAATGTTTGAAAAGGTTAATGAAAAAACTGTTAACCCTTTGACTGTCGCGGCCGTATATATACGTCTTACGGGGTACCGTGTTTGACGTATATATACTCATAAATTCTAGCGGCTTCAAATCAAGCAGGAGAAAGCTGGTAGGCCCACATGTGAGAGAATGGGTCTGTGTGGTCAGTGTGCACCAAATAAAAAAAATCCTGGAGCACGCAGTGCATAATGAGAAAAAAAAAACTCCGATCGTTTTTTTTAATTAGAATGCCGACTTTGTGGTCTATTTTCATGCAGTATTTATGGTTGTATTCTCGTTTTCTTGGTCTCATTTGATAGAATGGAAAATATATTATAGAAATAGAGGTGATTTTGATTGATTTTACTATAAAAAGAACCTAGAAATGGAGCTCAAAGTAGGGGAAATGTTTGATTTTTGCCAATGTTCAAAAGTAAACAAATGATGCCATTGTCCAATAAATGTCCAACTAGCCATTCTAATATGCAGTCATGAATGGGTTGATGTTATTTATACAATTATTACAGTATTGCAGTAGTCTGCATAATAGTAAGTCTTCTATTTTTTGTTTGAATAAAAATTCAAAATAGAAAGCAAGAGTAATATCAGAGGGGCCTGGAAACATGACTGATGAGCAAAGAAAATGCTATTTTAGAGCCAGGAATGGACCTTATTTTGAAATTGTCATATTTTTTAGTTTTCGTGAAATTGGCCAAATTGCAAATTTCTGACCACATTATTAGGTAGTTGAATCGGTAAATGGGCAGTTTCTTGTACTCAATCGATAGAAAAAATGGAGTTCTAAAGAAATAGCTATGAGGTTGGGCGACTGGAACAATGAAATTAGCCGAAAATAGGGCTCAAAGTGGGCGAAATCGCCGATTTGTAAACAGTGCCAAGGTCGCTAACTTCGCGAGAGCATAATTCCATCAGTTTTCCATCAAATTTCGTTTCTTTTGGTGTCATTACAATCGGGAAAAGATTCTCTATCATTTCATAAGAAAAAATATTTTTTTTTTTTTTAAATTTTGCAACACCAGGAGACACCTCAGGATTGGGGGTTGCGACAGTCAAAGGGTTAAATATCCTTTGTACGAGTGGTAACAATAAGAGAACAGGATATTTATATAAAGGGCAAGATTAACAAAAAAATATTATTTTCTGAATGATAAATTATGAAAAAATTACTGAAAATTTCACTGCAAAATCTGAATCTTTAAGATATTATTAAACAGCCTATTTACACAAAATAACTGAATAAAAGTTACAATGAACTGCCAATATACTAAAATTACTGATGAGAAACCTCTCCTGATGCGTGGCGCTGACGTGTCTTCTCTCTCAGCTTAAATGCTGCTAAAGCTTCATCAATAAAACTTGGTGGTACCTTCGAATGAGATACTTTTACTCTTCCAACGAACAACACCTGCAACAAAATCAACAGTGACAAATAAGTGTAGTCATGTGCAGTACAAAGCTGTGCAAGCCACTAGTGAAAAGTGTGGACAAATATGAAATAAACTCACAAGTCATGGTAAGGTTGATTGATAAAACCATGCAATGCCCTAGTATCTATTATGAAGATGTTTCACGAACTAGTCACTTTCTCAATTCATTACAGAGATTATACATGGAAGACAGTGGAAGATGAAGCAATCAGTGCATCATCCTTGACAGGTGTTAAATCAGAAGCAGAGAAAGGAGGCTGAACACTTATATATTGGAGTAAGATAAGGTGCAGTGACTGATGGTACTGTACACTATTAACATAATGATACCTGTCTGACACAGCAATGCCAGGAAATCTTGGTACAGAGGATATCTTCTACAGCCTTATTGCTAACCTCTGACCCAACTCTTGGGCATAACCTACCTCCATAATCCCATCCATCTATGATTCCTTCAACTGCTGCACCTCATCTGATTACAGTATGTGTGTCCAACCTCCGGCCTTTGCTTCAGACTGAGGAACAGTAGGGTCCCGCTTTACGGCGTTTAGCTAATATGGACACTTCAAATTATGACCAAAACTCACTATACAGCTCCCCCACCTGACTAATACTATCCCCATGCACCACCTGGTTTGTTTACATTCTCCATGAGCTCTGTCTCTCTCCATTATGTCTGGAAACTTTCCAAAATTTCAAGTGTTTTAAATTATTGTGAATTTTACATGTACAGTAGAGCCCCGCTTTACAGCGTTTTGCTTTATAACGTTCCACTAACATGGACATTTCATATTATGACCAAAACTTTCTATATGGCTCCCCCCACCTGACTTTTTAATACAGTCACCGCGCCCCACCCGGTTTGTTTACATTCTCCATGAGCTCCGTAAGCACAACATCTCTCCAATATGTCCGAAAACTCCAAAATTTCAAGTTTTTTAAAAGTTATTTCATATTTTACATATACACCTACCATCCGACTTACGACCTGCTCGGCATACATCCACTCGACTTACGACCATGCATCTGGCAGCTGGGCTGGGCCGGCTGATGCACACCGCTGTACAATATTTGACAATACTCGCGGCAGCACTGCGTCACGCAGGCAGCATCAGTTTGAGTAACCCTGCCCTATCAGCAGCATCATACTGTATTAACTGTACTAACTGGACAGTAAATTTCACCATGGCCCCTAAGATGAAGTCTAAATCTTGCAATGGAGATTGTGGCAAGAAAGGCTCTTACTCTCCAACTCTCTATTTGTTTTCAGTGTTGCACATAAACCTGTCTGTATCTGTCTGCCTGTATATCTGTGTCTGTCTGTATCTCTGTGTGCCTGTTTGTCTACCTGTGTGTCTGTCTTTCTGTCTACCTGTGTGTGTGTCTTTCTGTCTACCTGTGTGTCTGTCTTTCTGTCTACCTGTGTGTGTCTTTCTATCTGTGTCTCTTTCTGTCTACCCGAGTGTCTTTCTGTCTACCTGTGTGTGTCTTTCTGTTTACCTGTGTTTACCTGGAGAGAGTTCCGGGGGTCAACGCCCCCGCGGCCCAGTCTGTGACCAGGCCTCCTGGTGGATCAGAGCCTGATCAACCAGGCTGTTACTGCTGGCTGCACGCAAACCAACGTACGAGCCACAGCCCGGCTGGTCAGGAACCGACTTTAGGTGCTTGTCCAATGCCAGCTTGAAGACTGCCTGGGATCTGTTGGTAATCCCCCTTATGTATGCTGGGAGGCAGTCGAACAGTCTCGGGCCCCTGACACTTATTGTATGGTCTCTTAACATGCTAGTGACACCCCTGCTTTTCATTGGGGGGATGTTGCATCGTCTGCCAAATCTTTTGCTTTCATAGCGAGTGATTTTCGTGTGCACGTTCGGTACTAGTCCCTCTAGGAGTTTCCAGGTGTATATAATCATGTATCTCTCCCGCCTGCATTCCAGGGAATACAGGTTTAGGAACCTCAAGCGCTCCCAGTAATTGATGTGTTTTATCTCCGTTATGCGTGCCGTGAAGGTTCTCTGTACATTTTCTAGGTCAGCAATTTCACCTGCCTTGAAAGGTGCTGTTAGTGTGCAGCAATATTCCAGCCTAGATAGAACAAGTGAACTGAAGAGTGTCATCATGGGCTTGGCCTCCCTAGTTTTGAAGGTTCTCATTATCCATCCTGTCATTTTTCTAGCAGATGCGATTGATACAATGTTATGGTCCTTGAAGGTGAGATCCTCCGACATGATCACTCCCAGGTCTTTGACGTTGGTGTTTCGCTCTATTTTGTGGCCAGAATTTATTTTGTACTCTGATGAAGATTTAATTTCCTCGTGTTTACCATATCTGAGTAATTGAAATTTCTCATCGTTGAACTTCATATTGTTTTCTGCAGCCCACTGAAAGATTTGGTTGATGTCCGCCTGGAGCCTTGCAGTGTCTGCAATGGAAGACACTGTCATGCAGATTCGGGTGTCATCTGCAAAGGAAGACACGGTGCTGTGGCTGACATCCTTGTCTATGTCAGATATGAGGATGAGGAACAAGATGGGAGCGAGTACTGTGCCTTGTGGAACAGAGCTTTTCACCGTCGCTGCCTATATATATTACATCTGCATTCTTTTTGTCTTCTAGTGCATCTAGGACCTTGTCATAGTGATCCAATAGTTGAGACAGACAGGAGCGACCTGTTCTAAACCCATGTTGCCCTGGGTTGTGTAACTGATGGGTTTCTAGATGGGTGGTGATCTTGCTTCTTAGGACCCTTTCAAAGATTTTTATGATATGGGATGTTAGTGCTATCGGTCTGTAGTTCTTTGCTGTTGCTTTACTGCCCCCTTTGTGGAGTGGGGCTATGTCTGTTGTTTTTAGTAACTGTGGGACAACCCCCGTGTCCATGCTCCCTCTCCATAGGATGGTAAAGGCTCGTGATAGAGGCTTCTTGCAGTTCTTGATGAACACGGAGTTCCACGAGTCTGGCCCTGGGGCAGAGTGCATGGGCAGGTCATTTATCGCCTGTTCAAAGTCATTTGGCGTCAGGATAACATCGGATAGGCTTGTGTTAACCAAATTCTGTGGCTCTCCCATAAAAAATTCATTTTGATCTTCGACTCTCAGTCTGGTTAGCGGCTTGCTAAAAACTGAGTCATATTGGGACTTGAGTAGCTGACTCATTTCTTTGCTGTCATCTGTGTAGGACCCATCTTGTTTAAGTAGGGGCACAATACTGGACGTTGTTCTCAACTTTGATTTGGCATAGGAGAAGAAATACTTTGGGTTTCTTTCAATTTCATTTATGGCTTTTAGTTCTTCCCGCGATTCCTGACTCCTGTAAAATTCCTTTAGCTTAAGTTCGATGCTTGCTATTTCTCTGACCAGTGTCTCCCTACGCATTTCAGATATATTGACCTCTTTTAGCCGCTCTGTTATTCTTTTCCGTCGCCTGTAAAGGGAGCGCCTGTCTCTCTGTCTTTCTGTTTACCAGTGTGTCTGTCTTTCTGTCTACCTGTGTGTGTGTGTCTTTCTGTCTACCTGTGTGTGTGTCTTTCTGTCTACCTGTGTGTGTGTCTTTCTGTCTACCTTTGTGTCTGTCTTCTGTCTCCTGTGTGTCTGTCTTCTGTTACCTGTTGTTGTTTTCTTTCCCTGGTGTGGGGGCTTTCTGTCTACCTTGTTCTGTTTTCTTCGCTTGTCTGTCTCAGAGCCCTCTTTAAAGAGTATTGGGTCTTAAAGACACCATAATATAATGATATAACAATAAAATCACAGGGGCCTTTAAATGTGATAAACTTAATTTAAGACATTTGTTTAAACCATCATGATTTTTTTCAAATTATATAATAAACATGCTACATAACTATAAATTAAAAATATGAGATTTTTTCTGGTGGGGCTTGACAGAGTGAACAAAAACCATTCGTTTTTGGGTTTGGGGGTAAACAAACAACGTTTTTTACATAATCGTAAATTTTCTACCCCTCTCTTCTTATTTATCACTCTACACTAAGACTACAGTTTTTTTAAAGTAAGTATGATGGACTGATTTTATTATAGTTCAATAAAAATATTTTTTAAATATTATACACATGTTTTTTTTTAATAATAAAAATTTTTTATTATTTTTAAATTTTTTTTTAATTAAATTTTTGGGGCACTGGAGCACGACCCACTGTATGTATTTTGTCTGGTTTTTTTGGGTTATCCTAGGTAATTTATCTATGTATGATACTTCACTTATTTTTCTTTGTGTGTTGTGGTTGTGGTGTGTGTGTATCACCTTTTTGTGGTTTGCGGGGTCGGTCCTGTCCGGGCCCCGCCTTTCCCCGGTTGCTATCCCCCTTCTCTCCCCCTCCATATTTTTTTACAAACCCCTCGTCTTCTGGTTTTTCCCCTGCCTAAATCTTTTCTAGATACTCCTTTACAACTCTTGACTTTTTTTTTTTTTTTTCCCATTTGTGTTTTCAACTTCCATTGTGGCCTCTTGTTTCTGTGCCCCCTCCCGGGAAATCTGTCCTTGCCCCCTTTGTCTTTTCCCACGCAGTATTTTATGTGTCTTATCATGTCTCCCCTCCCCTTGTCCTCGTGTCGCAGGCCATTTCCTTAATTTTTCTTATAGGACATTCCCCTTGCTCGGAATAACCTTGTTGCAAACCTTTGTACTTTCTCTAGTTTCTTGACGTCTTTTTCAAGTGGGGTTTCCAACAGGTGCGTACTCCAGTAGGGGCCTGAATCACGGTGTACAGGTCTGAATGTTTCCCTTATAAGGTGTCGGAATGGTTCCGGGTTTCCCAGGCCCCTATTGCAGCAGTTATTGATTGGTGTGCTTCCGGGACATGCTGGGTGTTTAACTACCCCAAGATTTTTCCTTGAGTGGGGTTTTGCGTCTTTGGCACCTAGCCTATACTCTTTGTGGTCTTCTGTCCCCTTCCCCTATTTTATGACTTTGCATTGGGGTTTAAAATTCGAGAAGCCATTTGTGGACAGGTGTCCAGTTGTCCAGGTTCTTTAAAAGCCCTCCCGGGCCCCCTCATCAGTTTTAATTTTCCCCCTCATTTACTTCACT